ATTCCCAAAAACACCATCTGCAGCAATCCCAAAAAAACCCGAAAGACCTGAAACATTCCAAATAAAAACCAACACCTGAAACATTCCCAAAAAACACCTGCAGCTTTCCCAAAAAAAMCCAAACACCTGAGACATTCCCAATAAAAAATAAGCACCTGAAACATTCCTGAAATGAAACAAGCACCTGAAATAAACACCTGAGACATTTCCAAAAACAAACACCTGCAATATTCCCAAAAACCCAAACACCTGAAACATTCCCAAAAAAAAACCAAAACACCTGAACCATTCCCAAAAACAAACACCTGAACCATTCCCCAAAAACCCCAAACAATGGAAACATTCCTCAAAACAAACATCGGTGACATCCCCCAAAAAATGGAACCACCTGAGACATTCCCCAAAACAAACACCTGAAACATTCTGAAATAAACACCAGAAACATTTCCAAAAACCCCAAACACCTGAAACATTTCCCAAAACAAACACCTGCAATATTCCCAATAAAAACCAAACACCTGCAACATTCCCAATAAAAACCAACACCTGCAATATTCTGAAATAAACACCAGAAACATTTCCAAAAAACCCAAACACCTGAAACATTCCCAAAAAAACCAAGCACCTAAAACTTTCTGAAATAAACACCTGAGCCATTCCCAAAAAAACCAAACACCTGAGACATCCCCCAAAACAAACACCTGCAATATTCCCAAAAATCCCAAACACCTGAGACATTCCCAATAAAAACAAGCACCTGCAACATTCCCAAAAAACACCTGAGACATTCCCAAAAAAAACCCAAACACCTGAAAAATCCCCCAAAACAAACAGCAGAAACGTTTCCAAAAAACCCAAACACTGGCAATATTCCAAATAAAAACCAACACCTAAAACATTCTGAAATAAACACCTGAGACATTCCCCAAAAAAAAACCCCACCTGAAACATTCCTCAAAACAAAAAACCTGCAATATTTCCACAAAAAAATACACCTGCAACATTTCCCAAAAAAAAACCCAAACACCTGAGACATTTCCAAAAAACTCAGACACCTGAAACATTCCTGACATAAAACAAGCACCTGAAATAAAGACCTGAGACATTTCCAAAAAAAAAAAGCCCAAACATCTGAAACATTCACAAAACACTCCAACACCTGAAATATTCGGCAAAATAAACCCCGGTAACATCCCCCAAAAAAACTCAAACACCGGTAATATTCCCAATAGAAACAAACACCTAAAACATTCTGAAATAAACATCTGCAACATTCCCCAAAAAAACCCACACACCTGAAACATTTCAAAAAAAAATCAAGCGCCTAAATTTTCTGAAATAAAGACCTGAGACATTCCCAAAAAAAAAAACCCCAAACACCTGAAACATTCCAAATAAAAACAAATACATGAACCATTCCCAAAAAACCCCCAAACACCTGAGACATGCCCAATAAAAACCAAACACCTGAGACATTCCCAAAAAAACCCAAACACCTGAGACATCCCCCAAAAGAAACACTGGTGACATCCCAAAAAACCCAAACACCAGAAAAAATCCCAAAAAAATCCCAAACACTGACAACATTCCCAATAAAACCAACACCTAAAACATTCTGAAACAAACACCTGAAACATTTCCAAAAAACCCAAACACCTGCAACATTCCAAATGAAACCAACACCTAAAACATCTGAAATAAACATCTGCAACATTCACAAAAAGCCCAAACACCTGAAACATCCCAAAAAAAACCCAAACACCTGCAATATTCCCAATAAGACAACAACTAAAACATTCAGAAATAAACTTCTGCAACATTCACAAAAAACACAAATACCTGAAACATTCCCCAAAACAAACACCTTCAACATTCCAAATAAAACCAACACCTAAAACATTCTGAAATAAACATCTGCAACATTCCCAAAAAAACCCAAACACCTGAGACATCCCAAAAAAAACCCAAACACCTGAGACATCCCCCAAAACAAATACTGGTGACATCCCCCAAAGAAAACCAAATATCTGAAACACTCCCCAAAACAAACACCTGCAATATTCTGAAATAAAACCAACACCTAAAACATTCTGAAATAAACATCTGCAACATTCACAAAAAAACCCAAACACCTGAAACATTTCTAAAAATCCCAAACACCTGAGACATTCCCCAAAACAAACACTGGTGACATTCCCAATAAAAACCAAACACTGGCAGCATTCCAAATAAAAACCAACACCCAAAACATTCTGAAATAAACATCTGAGCCATTCCCAAAAAACCCCAAACACCTGAAACATCCCCCAAAACGAACACCTGCAATATTCCCAATAAAAACAAACATCTGCAACATTCTSAAATAAACACCTGAGACATTCCAAAAAACCCAAAGACCTGAGACATTCCAAAAAACCCAAACACCTGAGACATTCCCAATAAAAACCAAACASCTGAAACATTCCCAATAAAAACAAACACCTGAGACATCCCCCAAAACAAATACTGCTGACATCCCCCAAAAAAACCCAAACACCTG